GTTTAACTGTTTTTTGATGATAGCTTCTGATTTCAAACAAATAACTCAGAATTGGAGGAAGCAAAATTTAGGATTTAGCACCTTAAAGCAGTTAAATGTTTTGATTTTGCCAGATCTTTACATAGAACTCAAAATTTTAACATAGGGACTGAAGACATCTCAAAATTCTAAAGTAAAATAAATTACAGCTGAAGGCCGAAGTCAGAAATAGGAGGGAGTCCTTACTGATTTTGGTAGCTGTGTTCTCAGTGTACCAGTGAAATGGAAATGTTGACATGCTAACCCTGATGCATGATTGCTTGACTGAATATTAAGTAGCTAAAATTTAAATATTAATATTTACAGATTCATTCATCTTATTAGCTAATTTTTAAAAGAGCAAAGTATGTCATAACCATAAGAAAATTATTTAAATTTTTTATAATAAATGAATATAAATATCTTCAAACTTCCAGTGTAGAGTAAAAACATCCTTGGAAAAAATGACTTAAATCTCTTCACATTGATTTTATGAAATACATCAAGAGCTATGAAATTGCAGTAGTTACTTTACAGTAAGTTTGAATTTATTTTATGAACTTAAAACTACTATATTTGAATGAGGGCTTTGAAAAAATTTTGGAGGTATTCATTGCTATAAATCACTTAACATTTCCAGAAGGAGCTCACATTTGATCTTTAGAAAAATTTTCACAAGATGGGAATATTTAATTGTTTTTCTGCCTTTCAAAGAACATAAACTGTGGCAGAAAGTACGAGAGGAGCTTTCCTTGTGAATTAAGGTGAAGTTTCTTAATAAGTGGACACCTTTTAGATGCACTTAAATAACAGTGTGTAGGGCTCTTGAGATATAAGAGTTATTCTTGTTTCTTTGCTTCCTGAATTTTTTTTAAAGAAAATTTTAGTTTTCTTTTTGAAAATAACTTCACGATGAGATTTTCTAAAGCCCTCTAGAAGCATCTGTTTGCCTCTTTAAAAAATATAATCATCATATACGCTTAGTCCTAAGAAATAAGTCATGTACTTGGTAAACAATGCTTTTATTTTTTAATTTATTTTAAAATTTTTTAGTTTTGTTTTTATTCAGGTATAAATGACATATAACCTTAAATTAGTTACAGATGTACAACATAATGATCCAACATCTGTATATATTGCAAAATGATCACCACAGTAGTAAACAATGCTTTTTAACTCTCTTTCACACATAAGGCATCCTCAGGGCACTTAGGGCACTTACTGATAAATGTACCTGAATCCCCAGTATCTTTGAGCAGCAACCATCTGTTTCCATCAGTAAAGTGTGTTCTGTTTCCATTGCATTAACTAGAAAACGTAACATTTAAAATTACATTCCCAAAGAAATGGAAAACACTTGATATATTATTTGCATTAATTTTTCTGTAGGATAGAAAATACATTATGAAATATGGGTACCAGATAGCTTTAGTTTATTGTTTCTGGAGTATTTTGCCTTTAGCCATTCTGAGGGGATGACTCATTTGGATAACTTTTTTGGTTTTCATATTAGATTCTAGTCCCTCAATTAAATATATGAAAATTTTGAGTGCTATAATATGTTATTCTACTTTATATTCAGACACAGTCTTGAAAGGGTGAGTTTCCGATGCCTGGAAACAGATCGGGTTCTCCCTTGTAATGAACTTTGCAGTTTAAGGAGTGAACTTCAGTTTTTTCATCAGTGAAATGGGTCTAGTGTTGTACCTGTGAGGTTATTATTAGGTTAAATAAATTCTGGACACTGTCAAGTATCTGGTAAACTTTAAATAAATGAAAGCACTATGATTATTTTTATTGTCATAATATACATCTATTTTTATTCCATCCATACCTCCCCTTCTCCCTTCACCTTTTCTCCTCTTTCTCTCTTTTTTTCCACCAAGGCCCCTAGTGCTACAAGTTAAACCTATCAGATGGGACAGACGTCCCTCACATGAAAGCAACTTCTTATTCATTGTGTCAAACAACAGGAATAAAATAAGTACTCTGAATATTTTTAAACACTTTCAGGAAAAACTTGTAAAAACTACACTGAGATTTTTAGAGTGAAATAATTACCTTTTTCTGAACTTCACATAAGTGTTGTATTATCTCCCGAGTTTAATGTGTGAATTGGATTCATCTGGGCATGCTGTCTACTAAAATACTTTACAAAAACGAGATACTTATTTTTAGGCTTCATCACAATTTCTTGGAAGAATTTCAGGGATTTTATTCCAGTAAAACTGTACTTTTAAAGATCACGTCATGAAATGAATGCATCAATAAAATATACGGTCTTAGAAATGTAAAAATATAAATGACATTAAATATTAATGAAAATATAAGCTCTTTAAGTTTTGTTAGTCCAAAGTATAATTACCAAGTGAAAATTTGAAGATAATCTCAAACATCTGTTTCAAATTGTCATAGTAAAAGAAGAAGTTTAGTGAATGTTAAAACTCCTTATTCCTTAAGTAGGATATAGGATAACTTCATCTGTATTCTAAAAGAATGTGAGTTGTTGGCCTTAATTTTCCTTTTCTCCCTTTTTTTATTTTTCTTCTCCCCTACCACCCAGTTGCAGAAGTTGAATTAATTATATCCCTCAGTTTGTGGGCAATTTTTAGGATGATCCCTACAAATTTCCTTTCTTTTATTTACATATTTATTCCCTTTTATCTCTATCCCTAACTTCAATTTCCCTTTGTACCATAGGCAGCTGGTCTACCATACTTGAGTTGCATCCTTTGAGTTATAATGTACCCTTGTGAAGTATGTAGTGATATTTTGAGTGGGAACAAATTTTTAATATTTATAACTGGTGACAGAATATTTTAGATATTTTGAATTTTTGTAAATTTTCAAGGTCCATTCATACCACAATATTTACATGGAATTTGTTGGTCCTCACTGTTGTGTGGTCATCCCACATATACTCCCATGATGGGCAGGTTGATTACTTCCTGTGGTTGGCCAACACTAAGAGGCTTGCATGAAACATCCTGTCATGTTCTCTTAGATGAGAGTTTCTCTGGGAGTGGGATTGCTGGTCAGGGATTATTCATGACGTAGTCAAATGACATTTGTTGATTTGACAGCATATTGACAGATGGCATAACACAATGGCTTCCCCAGGCTACACTGTTCTCAATAATGCATATTCCTTCCCCATATCCCTACCAGGACTTGGCTTTATCCAGTTTTCTAATTTTTGCCAATCTCAAGTCTTGTTGTTATAACTTGTGTTTACTGAGGAATCTGAGTATTAAATTTTTAAACTTTACTCTGGTATTTATTATGGTTTCCCTTTTTGTAGATTCCTGTTCACATCCTTTGCCCATTTTTATCCCCTCGTTGGATTTCTTATCATTTCTTGTTGCTTTGTTAGGAGTTCTAGTTCCTAAGTATAGTGTCTTGTTTAGATGTTTGAAATATCTTCTGGTATATTAATGCATGTTTAATTTTGTCCATAATGTCCTTCAATAAATAGAAGTTCTTCTTTTCGAGATACTCAAATTCATCAGTTTTTTACTTGTTGAGTTCTGTTCGGAGGTCCCTTTCCCTTCCACAGAGATAATCTCTATATTCTTCCGTTAACTTCATTTTTTCACATTTATCTTTTAAAACTTTCTGGAGTTTACCTTTGTATATGGTGAATATGCATGATTAGGTGTTGTATAATTGTGAGTAGAGTGCTTTTCCCGTTTTCCATCTGAAACAAAAGGAGATACATGACTTTCCAAATATGAAAGATTAGTATTCGCTGTAGATAATATTAAGGACAGAAAGTGCATTATATTTGATGCTGTTTCTAAAAGCTGTGCTTTGCATTGTCAATTGCAAAAGGCATCAATGACAATGATATTAATGAAATTAACAAGCATTTATTGAGTATTAGTCACCTGGCAGGCACTGTCTTAAATACCCCACATATACTAACTCATTTTATCCTCATTACAAAATCCAGGAGATACTATTTTCCCCATTTTACAGGTGAGTGAATGAAAGCACAGAGTGTTAAATTACAGGGCACATAGACAAATCTGGGATTAAAAGATTCTATACTTTTTTATGCATTAAAAATTGGTATCTGAAAACCCCTTTCATCCTTCAGATAAAACTGGTAATTACCCACATAAATAGATCTTGACACATGTCAGCCTTCTTCTCATCCTCATCTAGCTGGGAGGGACTCTGGTTCAGGCCTAGCACCCTATCTTCTTATGAGAAGGAAAGGCAAGAGAAGTACCCAGGTTTGAGGGACAGATGCTGTATGTTTATGGGATATATTTTGTTCATTATAATGTTGAGAAATCTTGATTATTTGGAGTGAAAAATAAAAGACATACAGAAAATAAAGATTTTTAACATGATTATGTACGAAAATACTGAATCACTTATTTTTCCCACAAATGAATTTATTAGCAGGATGGGTATAAAAGAACATTGTATCTGAATAAAACATATATACTTAACTGTTTTAAGAAGTGTAGTGTTTTACTGATATGTCCTGATGACTATTAAGACTCTCTATGAAGTTTTTGATCTTACTTAGTTATCTTCCTTTTTATCCCCAGTTCTGTGTCATTTATCAGTGTTTTCATATTTCAATGAAATCTTTCAAATTTTAATTTTAAGATGATTTCTTACAGTTTCTGATTCAGTAGGTATACAATAATCTGAGTCCATGAAGACCCCTAGTAAAATTTGAAAGAGCATGAAGTCTTTGTAGGTGATCTTAAAATAACGTAGTTCTTGGCCTTAGGATAAACTGTGTGTGTATATCAGCTTTGAGACATAATAATATTTTTTAGGCTTTCATTGTATTTAATCCACAGGTTTGATGAAATGTTAGAGTATAAAGGATACAAATTTTCTTTCTTAAGAATGTTTTACGAGAATTTTCTCTCTCCCTGTGGTACTTCCTGATGTCCTGATGTTATGTTATATATAATTGGAATGACACTCCGCCTGAATACTTCTTTTGTTTTTGGCAGCCTGGGGTAACCTTGGAAATGTTCTGAAGAGTCAGAGCAAAATTTCTGAAGCTGAAAGCGCCTATAGAAACGCTTTGTACTACCGAAGCAACATGGCCGACATGCTTTATAATTTGTGAGTATGCGTTGCTTTCTCTGGTTGGGTTCATCTTTGACAGGTGGTGAGAGGGACTATGGGTTTAACTGCTGGAAACGGAGATGATGATAGCTGTGCTCTGAAATAGTATTTTTGTGAATCTTAAGACTAGTAAATGGATGGTGTTTGTAATCTCTGTGTTTTGGGCCACATCATTGATATGGCTGAAATTTTTTTGAAGTACTATGCCATATACCCTAAAAATTCGTTTAAATGCTTTTAATTTTTTTTTTTAAAGTTTGCTTCGTTAATACTTAGTTGGGTTGAAAAAATAAGGCTGTTATGTATGACACTCTATATAATTGATATCTTAATTACTATAATAGATTTTGTCCTCTTTTTTTTTTTTTAAAGAACTACTGGTGTCCAAGTATATATAGAACATGTACTAGCCCTGGGGTGTTATCAAATAAGGTAATACTTTCCCCCACAAAGGCACTAATGATTAGGTTGAGATAATGGGATAATGTGTCTGTTGGGTTAGAAAAATCCCGGAGTAGGGGTGGGCTAGAAATCTGTTCTTTGAATGGAAAGCCATAGGGGGTATACTTAGATGTAAGTGGATAAATGCAAATTAAACTGAAATCCCTTCTTTGTCTCTTATATTTATCACACTCTTTTGTTTATAAGTAATAGAAACTTAGTCTAAACTTGCTTCAACACAAAAGAGAATTTATTAAGCCCCATAACTGAAAATTCCTGGAGTTGACTAGATGTAGACACAATGAGATCCAGGTGTTTTATTATGTTTTTGGAATTTGTCTTCATTCTGTGTCTTTGGTTCCCTCTGGATTCACTCCATTCTCTGTGGGACTCGGTGTTAATGAGATGACTCCTGCACCTTTATGCTTATAGACTCTTGTCAGTCTCTGAAAGAATTGTCTTAATGCCTCTATTAATCCTGGAAAAAGGTCTCTGACCTTTCTGGGATCATGTGTCCTCTTTCTTTAGTGTTTGGAGAGGCTTATCTATATGCTTTTTAATTTTAAATTGAAAAGTAGTCAGTTTACAATGTTGTGTCAATTTCTAGCATACAGCATAATGTTTCAGTCATACATATACATACACTCATTTTCATATTCTTTCTCATTATAGGTTACTACAAGATACTGAATATACTTTCTCTATGCTTTCATAGTTCATGTATGCATCCACAGAGGAAGTTATAAGGTACAGCTTTTAAATGACAAGTAACGTGTATCTATCTGTCCAACTGAATAAATTTCTTTTCTCAGCAAAGAATAAGCCTGGATAGACTCATTTCCTTTTCTTCCAACCCTTGCCCAACAAGTATCACCAAAAGGTAGTTAACTTTTAACCAGTGTTTGTAGATAAGAGAGAGAAAAATAAGTTCCAAGAAGAGATGCTAGTTGTTCAGCTTACTTTCTTCCCCATGGCATGGGGCTATAAGAGCCTTCTACTGACAGTGCCTCCAGAGTTGGAATAGAATGGAGAAGGAGCAATTCCCTGCAGGAAGGAACCAGGCATAATAAGATGTTTCCTGCTTGTGTTTAATGACTTGTATGTAATATTGACAGTATCAAACTACTTTGTCAGCTTTATTTTTAGTATTTGTTTATTATGTTCTGATTACATCTAAATCTTTTGTACTGGCTAAATCTAAAAGCACAGATGTTAAAAAAAATTTAAAATAAATGAAAATAAACACCAAAATATCTTGATATTTAAGGGGAAGCAGACAGGATGAGCTCAGTTTAACTTACCGTTTGTACATTTACCTTGTCTTCAACCTCCTCTACTTTAACCCTGGGACTCAGTCTCATGGCCTATAGTCTGTATTAGGTCAGCGTGTGTTTTTTGTTGACCTGCACAGTGTTCAATTTTCTCTCTTTAACCTGGAAAGCCTTCAGATGGAGCACTCCCTCTCCAGGTTGCACTACCTCTGATATTCATTCTCTGCTGTGTTTCATGCTTCATCATACATACAACAATCTTTTTTCCCCTGAAATAATTTGAGACTGCATCTTTTCCTTTACTTGAGTGAATATATCTAGATACTCCAACAAAGGCTTTCCCCCGTCCTCTTAATCTAAATAATGTGATGTTACTATATTGTTGATCAATAGTTTTTTCATTTTATGAAAAAGAACCTTAACGATTTGATAAATTTACACAAATATTTTGGGTTGTTTTTGTTTGCATCTGAAAATACTGTTACCAAAGAGACCTCCTGTCCTGTGATATGGGATGCCAGTTTTCTTGTGGTGCCCATTCTTCATACACTACTGGGGAAGAAAATAAGCTAAACAACCAGTATCTCTTCTTGGAACTTGTTTTTCTCTCTCTTATCTACAGCCACTGGTTAAAAGTTAACTACCTTCTGGTGATACTTGTTGGGCAAGGGTTAAAAGAGAAAGGAAATGAGTCTATCCTTTACATGTCATTTAAAAGCTGTACCTTATAACTTCCCCTGTGGATGCATATATGAACTATGAAAGCATAAAGAAACTATATTCAGTATCTTGTAGTAACCTATAATGAAAAAGAATTTGAAAATGAATATATGTATGTATATGTATGACTGAAACATTATGCTGTATGCTAGAAATTGACACACCATTGTAAACTGACTACTTTTCAATTTAAAATAAAAAAGCATATAGATAAACCTCTCCAAACACTAAAGAAAAATTCTTGCTGGAGAAGTGGTTATTAACAAGATAAGACCCCACCACCACACACACACCATTTGTGGAAAATGGGATATGGCATAAATACCATATATAGTTCCAAAACAATTTTGCTAATGCAACAGGTTTTTTAAACTACACTTAACCGTCAGCTCAAATGGACAGGTTTAAACTCCCCAAGAAATGTTGACAATGATTTTGAAGCTTTGGATTATATAACTTATGTAGTGGACAAAATTCTCATACCAAGTAATTAGGTTTCAAAATAGATGAATTCTTAACAATGATTTTTAATCAAATCTTAACCTAATGAAACAAGATAGATTTTTTGCAATCTGTAATATCATAAAAACGTCTAGTATCATATGTCCCTGGAGCAAACTTTTCTTTCTGTTTATTTACATAGTTAGGAAAAGAGCCAGGTTTTTTCTCATGGACAATTAGAGACTATATGACAAATTACAAATTTTTCTTTTGAGATTTATATGCTATTTTATTACATAATTTTCTCTGAAATGCAGAAGTTCCTCTTAGTTCTATTTCAATGCAGAAGTTCCTCTTAGTTCTATTTCAAGTCTCTGAAAGGAAAGATATTTGCTTTGATCAGTTTTATCAGTAAACTTAACCCAACAACATTTCTTTGTGGTAGCAGCAGTCATTAATCACATTTCATATCATTGGTTGTAGTTCTGTCTCTTAAAGACATTTTGTGACCAAAGGCTGAAATTAATGAAGCTATTATATTAGTTGGCATGAAATACCCGTATTTATTAGTGAACTTTAGAAGCTTTTGGGAATCATAAGCTCCTGTTATATCCTCTATTTAATTTTTAATCAGTAACCTAGGTTTTTTTTTAACATAATTCAGTGTCCATAAATCTACTTGCTTTGCAAAATAGTGGGAAAAAATCCTATTGCTAAAAATTGTTTTGGAAATATAACCTGGAGACATACATCATTACATAACTTCAACACAATAATTACTAAAGTGAGGTATACCACCACAGACCAGACACAAGATGATTCTAAGAGACCAGAGATAATCTTTAAATTAATCCCTACAATTTTATTTTTATGTTTATATTTTAAAAATATATAACCAGCACATCTAGATAATGTTCTAGGAGAGGATAGAGAAAAAAGGATGATTTGGAAAAAAGTAAGCAATAGTATATACATGATATGTGGTTATGTCTGAAGTTTAGGGAACATGCATTATAAGATTTTAAATTTAAGGACTTTTTTTGCAGGAGTAATACCAAGTTATACCTGAGAGGTGCATATATACAGTTGTGTTTTCTACTTATAAAATAATGAAATAATTTTAATTTGGGAGGATAGCAATTTCTTCAGTAACTTTTATGTGCCAACCACTCTCCTTAGTTCCTTCGTATGTTATGACAGTTCATCTTCAAATGAAGCCTACAGAATGAGGAAAAGGAAACTCGGAGGGAATTTGTGGAAGATCACACAAATAGTAAAGGATCCCGTGTTTGAATTTGAGAGGTTCTGATTGTATATCCATGCAACAGAAGTTTTTCTGCTCAAGCTGGCAGAAATAAACCAAGGGTGGGGGGGGAACCTCAGTATACAGCTTTCAAATTCAGAAAAAAAATTAAGTCAAATCACCTTTCATGTAGGAAAAAAAAATACTTGGAATTACATCTAATTGAAAGTATAAGTTATTTTTAATGGCAGTTACTGAGTTGACTAAACTCACGCTGTAGATTCTTTTAGAAAGATCGTGGGTTTGCATAACAGAGCCAAGAGTTGCTTTCAAGAAGAAAGAATTACAAGGCGGAGGGTACAGCTCAGTGGCAGAGTGCCTGCTTAGCATGCACAAGGTCCTGGGTTCAATCCTCAGCACCTCCATTAAAAAAAGCAGATAGAGCAATTTGTTCAAAATAAAGGTGAACTTTAATTTTATAAAAGAAGAAAGTACTGTAGAAATTGTTTTGAATTATCTAAATCCATTCATTATTACATTGTTTTGCTATCACTTCAATCTGTGCTTACAGATGATAGTCATATAATGTAAAACGTAAAATAGTACTACTTTTTTGAGATGAGGTATAATTGACATATAAGATTTTATTCGTTTCAGGTGTACAACATAATGATTCAGTTTTGTATAAATTGTGAAATGATCACTACAGGAAGTCTAGTTATCATCTGTTACCAAACATTGTTACAAAATTTTATTCTTGTGATGAGAACTTTTACTTTGCAAATTTCCCTTGGCAACTTTTAAATAAGCAATACAGTATTATTAACTAGTGGTCATAGTATATATTACATCCCCATGACTTATTTATTTTATAACTGGAG